GGGCTCCCAGGGGGGATATCTAAACTGTGGCCGCTTTGGGCCTCTCAAAATGGAGGGGGGGCACAAGAGCAGGAAAAATCAACGAATCGACACCGGATGTGGATTAACTTGACACGTTCTGATAGGGGGGCCTCCTGGGCCCTCCTGGGAGCCTCCTGGGAATCTCCTGGGGACCCCTGGTGCCTGTCCTGGGCGTCCTGCGGCCTCCTGGAGCTCTCTGGGGCCTCCTGGGGCTCCCAGGGTCCCAGGGGGATATGTAACATGTGGTCTTCTGGGCCCCCAGGCTGGACCACCTCTTGCGCGGCATCTGGGAGCTCAGAGTTGCGAGAATGTCTTGTGCGAAACAGGCCGGACCACCTTGCGCACGGCATCTCAGAGCTCAGAGTTGCGAGGAAGTCTCAGGCGAGACGGGCCGGACCACCTCGCGTAGGGCATCTCAGAGCTCAGAAGTTCGAGGATGTCTCAGGCGGGCTCCCAGGGTCCCAGGGAAGATATGTAACATGTGGCCTTCTGGGCCCCCAGGCTGGACCACCTCTTGCGCGGCATCTGGGAGCTTAGAGTTGCGAGAATGTCTTGTGCGAAACAGGCCGGACCACCTTGCGCACGGCATCTCAGAGCTCAGAATTGCGAGGATGTCTCAGGCGAGACGGGCCGAACCACCTCGCGCAGTGCATCTCAGAGCTCAGAAGTTCGAGGATGTCTCAGGCGAAACGGGCCGGACCACCTCTCGCGCGGCATCTCCGAGGTCAGAGTTTCGAGGATGTCTCAGGCGAAACGGGCCGGATCACCTCGCGCAGGCATCTCAGAGCTCAGAGTTTCGAGGATGTCTCAGGCGAAACGGCCCGGACCACCTCTCGCACGGCACCTCGGGGCTCAGAGTTTCGAGGATGTCTCAAGCGAAACGGCCCGGACCACCTCTTGCTCGGCGTCCCAGAGCGCAATTTTTCGAGGATTTCTCAAGCGAAACGGCCAATCCTGGCCAACTCAGAAACGAGAGTTGTGAGGATGTCTCAAGCGAAACGGCCCGGACCATCAAATTTTTGTGTCTGCTCCGACTTCCCTCGGCTGGAGTTAGCTTCTATCGCAACAGCACCCCGTTCAGCAAGCTGTTTGGGGAAAAACGCCTGTAGGGGGACATGCCCGACCGAACACCAGGGTCCAGGACCCGTTTACCTCAGGACCCGTTTCCCGCAGGCTACCCACCGTTTCGATTTGTGAGCATCCACCAGCAGCCCTGCTTGTGTCGGCGGTGGCGCGCAAGAGGTTGGCGCGCGTGGGGTGCCACCCCCCTCGCGCCAACCTCGCACGCACCGTCTGAGAAGGCGGGGGGGCTCCCCCTCAGAGGGGCTTTCCCAAGAGAAGCCCCTGAGGCTTCTTCGAAGGCCGCCCCCGCGCCCCCCCCCCCCCCCGCGTGCGCCGCCGAGCTCCGTGCCCACGCGTGACTCGCTGCACCGGCGCACGGGACCCCGAGCGCCAGCGTCGCATGATCACATGATCGGACACGCGGCTGGCTCGGCACGGCAGGCGCCGCCGCCGCCGCCGCCGAGGACGACGACGACGACGACGACGACGACGACGGCCACAACGACGACGTCGACGACGACGACGACGACGACAACGACGAGCACGACGACGGCGACGACAGTGACGACGGGCACGAGCCACGGCACGGCACGAGGGCGGCAGATCCTTCGCAGCCCAGGACTTCGGCGGCGAGTCTCGGCCTTCGGGCACGGAACGGCGCGCGCTCGGCAGCTCCTTCGCACTCCAGGAGCTAAGCACGGCACGTCACGTGGGCAAGCAACGGCACGGCATGCGATCGGCATGTTTCGTGCATTCCAGCAACGAGGCACGGCGCGGGCACGGCACGCGGGCGCCAAGTCTCGTGCACGCGAGAACAAGTCGGAAAGGCACAACATTCGAGCACGGCACAGCACGCGGCCGTCAAGTTTCTAGGCGCGAGAATCGTTGCTTATAAGACTTGGTACCCTGTGCAGCATTACAGCACTTGCTGCTTCGAGAATAAAGCTGGCAGCATGTGTTCCCCGTGCTGGTTTCCAAGAGCTGTTCTTCATAGAGGAACTAGAGCAACTGCAGCTGACGCTGTATAGGCGAAAACAGCCGGAAGAGCAGGAGCAGGAGGAAAAGGATGAGAAGGGGGGAGGAGGACTACGACGACGAAGAGAAGAAGGAGGATGACGAAGAAAAGGAGGAGGAGGAGGAGGAGGAGGAGGAGGAGGGAGGAGGAGGGAGGAGGGAGGAAGGATGAGGAGGAGGGAGAGGAGGAACGTTCCAAACGACCCTGCGTTGCTGAGGTACGCCTGGCCGCTGCCCTTCGCCTTGGTGGAGCTGTGGGGCCACCCCGACGACCTTGCGGCCGCGGCGGTGAAGCTGGTCTCCAAGGACCGCCCCCTCCTCCCCCACCCGCCCGTCTTCTCCTGATCCCTCCCTTCCTCTCTCCCCGAAGAAGATAAAACACGCCATACACACAAACTTTTGGCGCTCCGCGCGGATTTCTTGGATCTGCGCTGGGCCCCCCTGGCGGCGCCGCCCCTGGCGCGCGCGTGGAGCGCCCGCCAGGGGGGCCCCGGCGCAGATCCAAGGAATCCGCGCGGAGCGCCAAAAGTTTTATGTTCATGGCGTTTGTTCTTCTTCCAGTTCCCTCCTGCCGCTCCACGTCCCCCTCCACTGTTCCCTCTTCGCTCCCTCTTCCTTCCCCTCTCACGGTTGTGGCTGCCCAGATGCTTGCATGCTGTGCTGCACGGCGCGTGCTACTTCGACGCCCCATGACGGAACGATTCACGATTGTGGGGGGTGAGTGCTTGTGCCAAGCTCGATGATTGCCGGTCAGCGGGTTTGACGATGTCTCCAACCCCTATGCCTTGTCTTCTTATCTCTTCTTGTGGTTTGTATAACTATGAGTTGCTTCCTTACTTATCATGTTCCTTCTTCTTGCTTTTCTTCTTTCTCCTTCCCCTACTCCTTCCCCTCGTCCTTATTCCCCCCCTCCTGCCCCTCGTCTTGTCCCGCACCCCAGTTGAACCCCCAGCGCACGAAGAGGGCGGCGGATGCAGGGTTGGATGCGCCCATGGACGTGAGGTGCCATCTTGCCTGCGTGAGATCGCGCCCCACTGGACACCGAAGAGGGCGGACGAAAGTGGCGAGTGTTGTGCGAGTGGCGCCAGCCAAGGTGCTCACTCGGCACGCGTTAGGGTGCATTCCCCTGGATCCCTCATGGGTCTCACGATATTGGCGACTGCTGTTCGCGTGGCATCACCCAGGACTGGCGAGATGTGCGAGATGTTATTCCCAATCAGCATTTGCACTGCAAGTGTCCTCGCGGAGATTGAACGGACTTAGCGAAAGAATTGTCCCGATGTTTGTAGGTGGTGGGGAATTCGGGTTTCCGGTTCCGAGTCTTGGGTTCCTGGTCTTTTCTACGCATTTGGCGAAATGGTGCGGGATGCCGATTGACGGCAAGGTTACAGTGGGTTGGTGGTCTCACGCTCTCCCAGAGTTTTGGTAGGCTCAAGCGCTACCACGTCGCCCACCACGACGGAATCGGCCAGTACGTCGGCACACAGCATTACGAAGTCGAGCGTTACTACGCTGGGCATCATGACGAAACCGTGCGCCGCGACTGCATCCAGCTTTACGTTTCCGATTCTGGGTCCGTCTCCATCTCCGTCGCGCTGCCGGGGGGGTCCCGTGAACGACCTCTGCATTGCCTTCAACTACGTGCGGTGAGTGCGGCCCCGGCCTTGTATAGGCTCTGTGTATGATCGTCGGCCGTTCTATCTCTCTTTCTCTCTCTCTCTCTCGTTCTCTCGCTCTCTCTCTCTCTCTCTCTCTCCCTCTCTCTACATGTCTGTATACACATATAAATATACACATATATACATGTATATAAGTATATATATACGTATACCTGCATATGTACACCTAGACCCGTACTGTCAACACATACACTCATAAATGTACATGTAAATACATATTTCGTAGTTATACACGTATACATATATATACACATGTGTATACGTATGTATGCATACGCGCACACACACCTATATAGATACAGATACATCTACATATAATTGGTTGAATCTATCTATTTATAATACACAGACGCGTGTGTATACATCTTCCTGTGCATGCCCAAGTGTTTTAGCTGTGTAGTACGGTTCCTGTCCCTGCATGCTGGCCCGCTCGTGCGAGTTGCTTCAGGGCATGCATGTCAATGAAACGTTTTGGGCCCCGTAGTGTCGCGCTACGGCCTTTGGTTCGGCGCCCAGGGCCATCACAACACCCATGATAATTATACGTAGTTGGGCGCATTTGTCACCCATTGATCCCGGATAGAGCCCCCTATAGCCCACCCCGCCCAGCAGCGTGGGGATCCGCCTTCAGGAGCCACTCGCCGATCTGTCGGCGACGCTTCGCCGATACAAGCTCGATGTTCCCCACTCCCCCCCAGGAGCTGTCCCCCCCAAGAGCTGCCCCCTCCCCCCCCCCCGCCCCCGAAGCGTTGGCCTGCAACGTTAGGGCGTAGGACCGCTTCCCCCGCGGGACGCCCCGCGCAGGTCCACGAGAGGTAGCGACACTGTTGGCGCTGCCCAGAGTTTCGACGCCTCACGTGCTCGGCGCGATTCCGAGGAGGAGGAGGAGGAGGAGGAGGAGGAGGTGAGGAGGAGGAGGAGGAGGAGGCTGGGAAGGAGGAGGAGGAGAGAGGGAGGAGGAGGAGGGGGAGAGGAAGGAGGGAGGAGTGGAGGGGGGGAGAGAGGAGGAGGGAGGAGGAGGAGGAGGAGGGAGAGGGAGAAGGAGGAGGAGGGAGGAGGAGGAGGGGGGGGGAGGAGGCGGCACGTTAGTGGCAAGCAGGGCCTGGCGTGCCTCGCTGGGACCCCCAGGGCGCCCGCACGGAAGGGGGGCAATGCCCACAGGGGCGAGGTTTGATGAGATGGCCTGCCTTCGACCATTGAGCGCCTACTTGAGTGAGGAAAGGGAGCGAGGAGGGAGGCAGGGAACGTGGAGGGAGGAGGAGAAGACACACAAACTGCTTCACGGTTTCATGCACAACGAGGCCCCCACCAGAAGCAGTGCATTCATGGCTATGCCGTGAGGGGGCCACGGGCCTTGAGCCACCGTTGATTTGCTTCATGAGCGCCATCCCACTCACAATGATCACGAGGAGGTCACCACACCCAGGGCACGTTCCTATGCAGCTTCTTTCAGGATCAACTGCGTACCATCCGAAGGACAAACCCACACGTAGTGTGCGAGCGGGAGCGAGGAATACACGCTCAAGTTGCGAAAAGCAGGGGTACGATAGTCAAGCCAGAGACGACGAAAGCACGCGCCATCCGAACACGATATAGACAGATAGGCGCTACCATTCAGTTATTTCCACGGTTGCTCATCGGATCCACGCGCTCCTGTGGAAGAGATAAGCTTCTGGCGTTTCCCTCTGCTCGCCTTGTCGCGGTTGTTATTCCATCACCCCCGCCTGCCTGCCTTGCCTCCTCGTTACTGTGACCCCCCCCCGCCTCACTGCCTCGGTGCTTCCTTACACGCTTGTGCCTCTAGCACATCCCTCCCCCAGTCACTGAGCGTTTCTTTTGTCCACCCCAGGGTAACGCTCGTTACTCGGGCCCCCCCACACACACACACACACACACACACACACACACACACACACACACACACACACACACACACACACACACACACACGGGTAACGCTAAAGATGGCACAGCCCCAGGGGTTACCCGGCCCCCCCCCCCCCCAAGGGTTACAGGGACCATCCCCCCGACGGGTTATTCCGGCCACCGCCCCCCGCGGGGTTACCCAGCCCCCCCCCCACAGCATGTAGGGGGGAGACCTGGACCCACCCCTACACGCCGTGGTGCACACAGGCGATTGATGCGCCGGCGGCGCTGACGCACCCTGGCGTGGCGGGTGCGCGCCGTGGCCGCCGTTCCCGATACCCTCCCGCCCTCCCCCCCCCCCCCTCCTGGGTAACGACGGTTACCAGGGGGAAAAAAAAAGACTGTCATTCAGACGGCTGATGCGTATTGCTTTCGGATCGCCTTCGCCTTCGAACCTCCCCGGACCACCCAGGCCAGCACGCCGAAGGACGGCGACGAACAGAAGGACGGCTCCGAGGCCCGTTCCTCCACGCAGCCCGTGGCGCACGCCGCAGTGGCCTGTGCAATTGTAGTTTGAGCATCGTTTCGTTGGTGCGTTCTGCTCCGCCCTCGATATGACGCAAGTCTCTTGCTGTGTGTGAGCTGCCCGGCACGCTAGGATAATCTGTGCAAGAGTAGGCAGCAGCAGACAAGTCGTGCCGTTGAGCATATCGTGGCACCCTGTCGGAGTCTAGTGGTGTTCATCAGGTTGGTGTTGCTTCTGTTGCTCCGGATACTCTCACGGCGGTATTGCTCTTAGCGTTGTTGTTTACAACGTCGTTGGGCAGTGCTGAGTGAGTAGTGAGTAGTGGGCAGTGAGTGGTGAGTATTGAGGTACTGGGTATTGAGTAGTAGGTTGGGAGTAGTGAGTAGGGAGTAGCGAGAAGTGAGTAGTCGGAGCGTAGTGCGTAGTGAGTTGTGGGTAGTGAGTGGTGCGTATTGGGTAGCGAGTAGGGTGTAGGGAGTAGCGAGTAGTGAGTAGTGAGTAGGGAGTACTGTGTAGTGAGTAGGGTGTAGCGAGTAGTGGATAGTGAGTAGTGAGTTGTGGGCAGTGAATAGTGAGTAGAGAATTAAGAGTAGTGAGTAGTGGATAGTGGTTAGTGGGCAGCGATGTGTGATTAGTGCGTAGTGGGTAGTGAGTCATGTTTAGTGAATATCAATTAGTGAGTACTGCGTCGTGGATAGTGAGTATTGAGTTGTGAGTAGTGCGTACGGAGTAGCGAGTAGGGAGTAGTGGGTGGTGGGTAGTGAGTAGTGGGTAGTGAGTACTCATTCGTGAGTAGTGAGAAGTGAGTAGTGAGTAGCGAGAAGTGAGTAGTGAGTAGCGAGTAGTGAGTAGTGGGTAGTGAGTACTGATTGGGGCTAGGGTTAGGGTTCGGGGTTAGGGTTGGGGGTTAGGGTAAGGGTGAGGATTAGCGCTAGCGGTGGCAGGGGTCGGGGTCCGGAGCCCGGGGGCGCCGTGGCGAAAAGGGGGGAAGGGGGGGGGGCCGAATTTGGCGGCCAAGAGGGGGACGGGGGACGGAGGGGGGGGGCCCCAACGACGGATCGGGAAAGGGGGGAGGAGGGGGGGGTTCTCCGACGACGGATCGGGAAAGGGGGGGGGTATTTTCCGACGACGGATCGGGGAAATTTGGGGGGGAAGTCCCCCCCCCCCCCCCCCCCTTTGGGGAGATCCAGCGGCGCGCCCTCTATAATTTGAGACTGCGAAGCGACGCCCACCATCGACATGGGATCTGACCACCGTGCAGTACGAATGACAGTGAGGATGCCCACGACCACCGTGGACACGAACCAGCCGACCAAGCAGAAAAATAAATCCAAGCAGCCAGTACCGAAGTGGCCACCACACGACGTGATGCTCTACCGGGAGCGTCTTACGGACAAGTTGGATCGCATGCTTGTGGATTTACACATGCAGGTGACATTTGAGGAGATCGAAGTACGACGTAGCGAGAGAAAGGCAACGATCAAAACGATACTTCTCGACATCCAGCCGGAGCCTGGCACAAGCGTGAGCGATGCCCGAAAGCAGACCACGCAGCAATTGTCATCTCTGCCACAAAAAAAACGTAGGACTCCACCGTTTGACACTACGGCCAGGAGGCGACTGAACAAAGCCATGCGGAAAGAGACGAGAGCCATCCGGAGAGCGACACAACGAGCCCATGTTGAGCACATAATTACGGAATACCAAACTTGAAACGCATCAGCGGCATCAAATCGCACAAGCAGAAGGAGCGAAGTTCTAGTATGACCAATGCTGACGGCGTGACACAGCACGACAGGCAATCCATTGCAGATGTGTTTGTTGCTTTCTTTGAGAAGCTCTACCAAGACACCAACCGAGGAAAACAGCCGACGCCGAGCACAACCGATCAGGGTATCCCAACGTTCACTACTCGCGAGCTCGATGTCGCCCTACGACAACTTAAATCGAACCAGGCGGATGATTCACAAGGCATAGTAGCAGAAATGCTGAAGTCTGGAAGCGGAACGTTGAAGCAGGTTCTCCTGGATCTCTACAGCAGCATTGCAAGCCCGACGGCGCCGACGCCGAGCTACTGGAAAAGTTCGCTTATCAAAGTAACCCACAAGAGTGGCAATTCTCAGTTACCACAAAATTACCGACCTACTGCAGTCATACCATTGCTGTACAAATTGTTCTCACGACATTTTACAAACGCTGACACCCCATCTTAGACCCTCAACACAGCAGCGATCAAACCGGCTTCCGACCTCACCGCAGCACGTGTGCTCACCTGTCCACGATCACTCTATTACATGAGATGGCGGACGAGTGGGGTGTCCCGCCATGGACAGCCACGGTCGATTTCAAAGAAAGCTTTCGGCACGGTCACTCACCAAAGCACCTGGCGAGCCCTTAGTGACCAAGGGGCGCCTGTGGCGTACGTGCAGTTCCTGGCCAAACTGCGCGATGAGCAAACAGCTACAGTCCGAACAGACCAGACAAGCAGAGAGCTCCACATACAAAGGGGCACGAAGCAGGGAGACCCGTTGAGCTCACTCTTGGTCACCTGCGTTTCAGAAAGTATTGTGCGGACCATCAAGCAGAAGTGGTCTACGAAACGGATTGGGTTACAATTACACTCAGGACATGAACGATTTACCAACCTCCGGTTTGCAGATGATATGATCTGAATAGCTGGGTCACTGCGCCACATCACTAGCATGCTGGACGACCTGAGCAGGAAGGCCGCCAACACAGGGCTCGAGCTGCATCCGCATGAGACGACAATTCTCCACAACGGCCACCGAGGTTCCAGAAAAGAGAAAGAACCCAGCCACGCAACGGCCAACGGGATGTCAATCGAGATGTTGCCGCCTAACAGACCGACGAAATAATCTTGGGAGGAAGTTACAATTCAGCGAATTTGACGCCACCGAGCTGGAGAACCGCATCGCATCTCGACGGCATGGAGAAAGTTTCTTGCTCTGCGGACAGAATTGACGGGGCAGCATTATTCAATGAACAAGCGGATCCGGTTACTTCATGGGATTAGTACACCGATTATTCTTTATGGGTGTGAAGCATGGACAATGACAGTGGTGATGGACACCGACTCCAGAGAACTCAGCGCCAGATGTTGCGCATGATGTTACGTGCGCCAAGACGTCGGGACCCACGACAGCCTGGACAGGGGATACCTTTTCAAGACGACTCCGGTCTCGAGCCCTGGGTATATTACATTCGGCGGTCCACCCACAAAGCTGAAGGGATGATGGAAAACTTCTAGATCACTGATTGGGTGTCGACCCAACGCCAACGAACATGAAGATGGGCCCAGGAGGTTTGCAGTGTGGCAGAATATGAATGGACATCCCAGGCGTTACGATGGGACCCTTCACTGCTACTCAATGCGTGGTGCACGACGGCGACAGGGACATCCGAGGAAACGGTGGTCGGATGATATTGTACGCTACGCCGGGAACGACTGGGCTTCAGAAGCCCTATCTGGCAAATGGGAGTTATTTGAGGCAGCTTATGTAGGCAGGACGGCGCCTGATCTTTCATTGTAGTCTGTTTCACATTGTAGCATGTACATGGGTGTGTGTATGTGTGTGGTGTTTGTTCACTTGTCTCACATTTGCCCGGCGCCACGGCGCCAACCTGCGACGCCCCCGCCGGCGACAGCTGCAGGTCCGATGCCCGATGTCCGATGTCCGTTCGAGCCCACATTGGGGGGATGGCTCAGGCGGTTTGCGCATTTGGGTGCTCAAGGTCTTTCTTTTTCGGAGCAGTTTCCGACGATGTCTCAGGAGAGGCGCTGGTTTCAGCACTCCCTAGGTGGAGCGCCGGGGGGTTCTTGCACGGGCCCGTTCGAGCCCACATTGGGGGGATGGCTCAGGCGGTTTGTCTGTCTGGCTGTTTAAATTCCTTCTCTTTCGGAGCAGTTCTCGAGGATGTGTCAGGCGAGGCGGTGGTTTCAGCACTCCCAAAGGGGGGGCGCCAGGGGCTATTGCACGGTTCGCGCCCAAATTGGGGGGATGTCTCTGGCGGTTTGCGCGTTTGGGTGCTCAACTTCCTTCTCTTTCGAAGCAGTTCCCGACGATGTCTCAGGCGAGGCGCTGGCTTCAGCACTCCAAAGGGGGGACGCCAGGGGGTATTGCATGGGCCCGTTCGCGCCGCCATTGGGGGGATGTCTCTGGCGGTTTGCTTGTTTGGGTGTTTAAATTTCTTCTCTTTCGGAGCAGTTTCCGACGATGTCTCAGGCGAGGCGCTGGTTTCAGCATTCCCAAGGGAGGGCGCCAGGGGGTATTACACGGGCCCGTTGTCAACATCACGGATGGATTCACAGCTGTTCATAGGGAAAGGAGGAGAAAGAGGAGGAGGACAAGGAGGAGGAGGAGGAGGAGGACAGAAGGAGGAAGCAACCACTTAAAGTCGTCGTAGTCGTCGGCGTTTCTCTCGGCATCGTTTTCCACGCGGATTCGCTGACACTCGCATATTGCAAAGGATAATGTCTGCGACCGAAGTTTGCCATCACTATGAGATGCACATATGGGGATCTCCGCGTCGAGTAAGTCCTGGGGCCCGTTGACAGCCCCCAGAGGCCGCAAACGGTCACAAAAACGGCCTGCTCTATTTTGTCGGAGCCTCCAATCTCGGGGCTTGAACCATGCAGAGCGGAGCCCGTGCTGTCAGAAGCGAAAAAACACAGACACTAATAACCGTCGCATCCCAGGAAAATTCAGAAAACATGAGAAGTGGAGGGGCGAACACCCAGGACATATGGGAAATATGGTGAATCTGGGGAGGTCTGTCTAATCCGGACGAAGCTAGGACGATGATACATCTGTTCCAGAGCGTTCGGGAACGCTCTCAGAGCGTCGCCAGATCTCAGAGCCTCTCGTTTCGTTCTCACCCGCTGTCCTCGTCCTCGCTCCGTCTTGCTAGTTCTTGGTGGGTCCCTGGGCCCCTTCCGTGTGTGCACTCGCGCTGCCCGCCGCCCGCGCCCGACTGGAGAGGCCTTCGAGCTGCGCTTGCTCATGCCGGAGGCCGACCTGGCCAAGGCGGAGCACCTGCCGGCGAACCCCAAGGTGTCAGGCCGCCGGGCCCCCGCCTTCCTCGCCGCGGGGGAAGCCCAAGCCCCTGCAATGCGGGGTGTTTGTACACGGGGTGGTAGCTAAGCGTGCGTTTTCAATTGCACCTTCGAAGAATTCATCGATTCGCCGCGCATGAGTGCGAGGTAGCCCTCCCGCCCAGAGTTCTGACGATGTGTCGACGATCTCGTCGCCCCGATGCATCACGCACTAGTGCGAGGTATATGCCCTGTCGCCCTGTACTCGCTCGTGGAGGCCCCCTAGCTACCACCCCGTCCACTAACACCCCGTTGGCAGGGGCTTTGAAAACTCTAGGCCTTCCAGATGGGGTCCGACTAGATTGGGTCGGAGGATCGCGTCGCATCGCCTATGCGTCGTCGATGCGGCTCCATGCGGAGCTCGATTTCCTCCGCGCCGACGGCGCCGATGCATCGCCGACGTCGCTGGCGCGATCCTCCGACCCCATCTACTCCGACCCCATCCAGGCGGCCTCCAGAAACGGGTCCTGAGGTTTTTCACCGTTCGCGGGCTTTCGGTGCACCCCACGGGCCCCAGGACTGACAGAGCGACTCAGGATGACGAGCTCGTCCTGGGGGAAGGCCGCAGGGTCCAGGACTCGTTTCCCTCGGGGCCCTTTTCCCCAGGCTCACGCTGAGCCCCGCCTCTCCAGCGAGGGGGCGCACGATCGGCGGCGTCAGTCGGCGGCCAGCCCGGGGGGGAAGCGAGACGGGGTTCGGGTTCGAGATTCGCGGATCTCTGGCGTTTTCGCTCGTTCTCGGCGGCTTCCGGGCCTCAGGACGAGAGCGTTGTCGTTGTGGGGGGGCCTTTTGGGCCGCCCCGAAGGGCGGTCGGAGACCCGAGTGAGGATCCGAGGACCAACTTCGGCAGCGCGCCGCGGGGGGACCCGAGAGGAGGCGGGCCTTCTCAGAAGGCTCGGAAGGCCCTCAGCCTTCTGGGAAGATGTCCAAGCTCTCCCCGACGACACAGACAACCTCTGTCAGCAAGCCGGGTGCCGTTTGGGAAGCTCCGCCGCCTGCTGAGAAGGCCTCCTCAATCTCACTTCCTCCCTCGCTCGAATCGGACCGAGATGGATCGGAAATCTTTGAACATCGGAGGGTTGGGAGGATGCATCGGGCGTCGCGGCCGTTGCCGAGCGTTCCGGGACGCGCTGGAACGGATTTATGTTGATTCCAGGCCTGTCCGAGAGCCATGAAAGCACCGTGCTTGTGATACATAGCACCCCGCAGTGGCGGATAGGAGGGCGGGGGCGGGCGCGGGGGTGGGCGCGGGGTGGGTCGCGGGTGGGTCGCGGGTGGGTCGCGGGGTGGGTCGCGGGTTGTTCGCGGGGGGATCGCGGGCGACGACAACAACAACAACGACAACAACGAGCAACAACAACAACAACAACAACAACAACAACAGCAACAACAATAACAGCAACAGCAACAACAACTACAACAACAAACAGTAAGAATCCCGTCCACGGAATCCCGCTTCAGCCACGCACCCAGGGACAATGAATGGCCATTCGGCCCCTTCACTCTGACGTTCCAAGATTTCCCTGGATGTCCCAGGTGTCCTGATCTCTCACAGGGGCTGCAGGAAAACGAGGGCCACCAGGTATTCTCGAACTCCTGGAACGCATCCATAGCCAATCGCACGATGGCATCATCCCTCCTGCTCCTCCTCCTCCTCCGCCTCCTCCTCATCCTCCTCCTCCTCCTCCTCCTCATCCTCCTCCTCCCCCTCCTCCTCCCTCTCTTCCGCATCTCCTCCCTTTTTCTCCCAGTGGCCGGTGCTTTTCAGGAGGGGGGAAAACACACAGACACAATGAATCGTCGATTCCCAAGAAAATATGCGAAAACATGGGAAGTGGGGGCGAAGACGAAAACCCAGAAAATATATAGAAATATTGGGAATCCTGGAATTTGTGTGTATGTATTTGTGTGTCCTTGGGCCGCTTTAGCTTTGTTTTGTTACTTGGGCATGGGCCAGCTTAGTCCCCATATCCAAAGGATGGGGTTGTTGTGCCTCCCCATATCCAAAGGATGGGTTTCTTGTTATTCCCCATATCCTAAGATGGGGTTTTTATTATTACACTGACGCCGCCGACTCCTCAGTCAGGCCTCCCATTCTCGTCTCCTCCTATCTAGATTCGTCCATACTCAGATTCCCTCGCACTCATACTATTCAGAGTTGTTCACATTCAGACTCACTCATACTCATACTCTCTCGGACTCACTCATGCCAAGACTTTGTCGCAGCCATTCATTCATATTCAGAAGATTCGGAGGGTGTCTCAGGTGGGGTGTTGGTGTCTCAGGTGGGGTGTGAGCACCCCTAAGGGTATCCGCCAGAGGGGTATTGCAGGGCCTCTCAGGAGGTTTGCATGTTGCGGTGCCCAACGTCGTTTGTGTTGACAGCAGTTTGTGGAGATGTCACAGGCGGGGCGCTGGTTTCGGCACCCCGAAGGGGAGCCGCCAGAGGGTATTGCACGGGCCCGGTCGCGGCCAGTTTGCGTGGATGTCTCAGGCGGTTTGCTTGTTTCGGTGGCCAACATCGTCCGCGTGTAGACCAGATTGTGAGGATGCCTCAGGCGGCGCGCTGGTTTCAGCATCCGTAAAGGGAGCCGCCAGGGGGTATTGCACTCGCGACCAGTTTGTCGGGATGTCTCCCCACGAAGACCAAGGCGGCCGTATCTCAAGTACGGCGCCGTTTACGAGACGATCGATCACCGTATCCAGGCCTGCTGATTCCAGCGCGGCTGCGAACGAAGGCGGCGGCGTCAACAGGGCGCTGGGCGACGCGCGGGACATGGCGGAGGGGGCCGACCAAGAGTCCGACATGGCACAGCTGGCAGATGTGAGGTCACATGCGTAGTGATTCGCGCGGTGCCACTCGCCCCGATGCCAAGTGCAGACGGCTTCCTTTTGCTATACCAGCTGGGCCTGATGCCAAGCGCGAACGGCCAAAGCCGAAGCGCAAACCGCGAATGTGCCATTCGTGTCACTTGCTTTTTTGCATTCCATGTGCCTACGGCTTCTGTTTGCGTTGCCAGCCAGGCCCGATGCGAAGCGCGGGCGGTTACAACTGAGGAGCTTATCGCGAGGTGCCGTTTGAAGCACTTGTCTTTCGTACTCTTCCCTGGGTTTTCGGTCGCGGTGTCAGTGGAATTCTTCGTTTTGGCTTCAAATGCGCTAACGTATGCCTGTGCATGAATGTGTACATGCGTTGAATGTACAGCGGCGCTGCGCGCGCGTGTGCTCGTCGCTCACATGGACGCGTTCTTAGGTCAATGTTATTATATACAGATGCTCACCATGGCACGACCTTTCAAAGTGAGATGCACATGAAGCTCATATGGCTAGATGCTCGTAGACACATCCACAATACAAGCGAACTGCTGAAAATGGATCCACCTATGGGGAGCTCCACGCAGCGACTCTCGTTTCTGACCGCGCCGCCCTCCCTTTCTGCACTCGGCAATGATGTTGATTGCCATGATGATGACCATGGTATGGTAGGAACATGCTGTGAGTATGATGGTGATGGTGAGTGATGGATGAGTGTCATGATGCTGATGATGATGATGATGATGATGATGATGATGGTGACGATGAGCAAATGGTGAGGATGTCTCGAGCGGCTTGCTTGTTTTCGCACTCTTAATAGGGGGGTCGCCAGGGGGTATTGCACGGCTTCCGTTCGCGCCCAGGCCGCGGGGATATCTCAGGCGGTGTGCATGTTTGGTGTTCGACATCCTCCGCTTTCGAAGCAGATATTGAGGATGTCGCGTGCGAGGCGCCTCTTCACGGGGGGCCGCCAGGGGTATTCCACGGCCCCCGTTCGCGCCCATATTGCGGGGATGCGTCAGGCGGTTTGCCTCTTTGCGTGCTCCACATATTTTGTTTTCGGAGCAGTTTTAGAGGATGTCTCCTGCGAAACGCTGGATGTCGCACTTTAAGGGGCCCAGATTGCGAGGACGTCTCCAGCGGTTTGCAGTTTTGGTGGCTTGATTCGCGTGCGCTCAGAGCAGATGTTGAAGATATCTCGAGCGGCTTGTTTGTTTTGGCACTCCCAAGGGGGGGGCGCCAGAGGGGGTTGCACGGTTTCCGTTCGCGCCCGGGTTGCGGGGATGCTTCGAGCGGTTCGCTTGCTTCGGAGCAACCGCGGAGGATGTCGGAGCAACCGTGGAGGATGTCTCGTGCGAGGCGCTGGCTGCCGCACCCCGGGGGGGGGGCAGATGGCGAGGATGTTTCGAGCGGTTTGCTTTGTTGGTGGCCACACTCGTCGAGTGCAGGCGCTGGCATTCGCACCCCAAGGGGCTTAGATTGCGAGGGTCTTTCGAGCGGTTTGCTTGTTTGGGCTGCCAGAATCGCGAGCGGATTTTCCCCGGGAGGCCCCCCCAAGGAGACACCAGGAAGACACAGGAGGCCCCAGGAGGCTGCAGGAGGCAACAGGAAGCCCCAAGAGGCTCCAAAATGTTCCACATGGTTCCAAAGGCTCCCAGGAAATTTCAAGAATTTAAAGAAATCCCCAGGAAACCTCAGGATGCTCCAGGAAGCCCCAGGAAGCCCCAGAATGACACAACGAGAGGCTTCCACCGAGAAGCTCCAGGAAGCCCCAGGAAGTTCCAGCAGGCCCCAGGAGGTCACAGGAAGCGTCAGGATGCACCAGAAGGCCCCAGGACGCACCAGGAGGCCCCAAGAGGCCCCAGGAGGCCCCAGGAGCAGTTCCAATCCTATGTGCTTTATGTATGTTCATATAGATCAGGCCTCTCCTGGGGCACGAATCAGTTGTGGTTTACGTATGTTCCTATAGATCGTCCTTCTCCTGTGACTCCAACCCGATGTGTTTTACGTATGCTCCTATAGATTGATTGGGCGTCTTGTGGGGCACGAGTCCTTGGTGGTTTACTTATGTTCGTGAAGGTTGTCCTTCTCCTGTGGTTCCGATCCTGAGTGTTTTACATATGTTCCTGTAGATTGGGTTCCCCCTGAGGCA